ATCCACGCGAACAACAAAATTTTCTCTCTTCTCGGTTTCGTCAAAAGCTTGTGTTGTTTTTTTCTTTAGCCGCCACCTCCGGTTCTCCACCACTTTAGATTTCATAGCCAACAAACCTAATTTGAATACAATTTGTATTCTTCTTCATGTGGTCCCCAAGTGGGCCACGTTGTCCACCAAGCTATCATCATTTTTTTAAAGAAAAATTAAATTTAAATCTCTTATAATTTGTCACTTAATTACTTAGATCACTGATATTTATAATATTATACACAGATCTCCTGAAATTTTTATGCAAGTAATACTTAGACACCTGCCGTTAATTTCCACTAGTATATCTATTAGTAAATTATATTCAAACTCCTTAAAATTTATAGACGCGTAATACTAAAATCTTTTTAAGCTTAAAATATCACACTTAGACCCCTTATTAGTTATAGAACTAACGAAATCTATTAAACGATTAAATTATCTTTAATTAGAGATAAAATGTATTGTGTTCATTACAGTTTGAACATTTATTTGATTTTTATTTTATTTTATTATAATAGACAGTATAATTATATGCAAATGAATGTTGAATTGAATTTTTTGATGGTAGTGGTGGGTTTTGGGTGGCGATTGAGATAATAATAGGAATAAGTGACGACGGTGGTGGTGGTGGTGATGGTGGGCAACAGTGATAGTGGTTGGAAGTGGTGATGATGGTTGGTAGTGGTGGTGGGTTGTGGTAGTAGTTGACGGTGGGTAGTGAAGGGCAACGATGATGATGGTGGGTGACAATGGTGATGAGATGATGGTATTAGTGGTAATAAATATAAGAATAAGATGATCATGGTAGTGGGGTGGCAACGGTGACAGTGGTGGTGATAATGGCGATGATGTGGGCGGTGGTGATGGTGGTGACAGTGGTGACAATAATAGTAATGATGGGGAGGTGGTGGTGGTGGTGGGGCGGTGTTGATAGTGGTGGGGGGTGGCAGCGGTGGCAGTAATGATGGTGGTGGTGGGGCAATGGCGATGGCGATAGTGGTAGTGGTGGTAGTGCAGAGGTGGTAATGGGATGACGGCGGTGGCAATGGTGGTGGTGGGGCTGTGACGATGGTGATAAGGGTGGCGGCAGTGGTGGTGGTTGTAGCAAAGGTGGTGATGGGGTGGCGATAGCGGTGATAATGGTGGTGGGGGCGATAGGGGGTGGTGGTTGTAGTTGTGGTGGTGAGACGGTTTCAAACACTTGTTTTTTTAAAAGTATTTTTGAAAAGTTATAAGTTTTAGAAGTACTTTTAAAAAGTCACTCAAAACACATCATTAGGGTATCTATTTTTCTTATTTAATTTTTGGAGTTAATATTAGCAGTCAGATTAATTTTAAAGTAAAATTTAAAACGATTTTAACCGCGAAAAATAAAAATTATTTTATTTATCTTTTAATATTTTATGAATTAAAATTAATAAAATAGTCTTAAAAACAAGGGCAAAATCCAGTTTATCCTCTTGTGATTTGAGTATTTTGCACATGACCCCCTTATATTTGAAAATTAACACATTACCTCTTTATGCTTTTGGACTGATATGCACAATTAACACTGTAAACAGAAGTGGTAAAATGATTTTAGTACTCTTAACTATTCATCATCTTCTTCCTCCCTCTCAACTGTTGCCTAATTTTTTGAAAAATCAACCAACCACCCAACTTTACAAGTTTTTTTCTCTCTCTCTACAAAGTACCAAACTTCCTCAAATCAATGTCAATATCCCCCACTCTCAACCTAGTTTTAAACCCCACGGACTTGTTTCCTTAAATAGCCCCCATGACCCACGAATTTAAGCTCAAAGATGATCACAAACTCATTTTGACAAGTTATGTACATATTAGATTTTTTTCAACATTTGGGCCAACTTTGACTCTTAATTTCTCCCTCGTTTCTCAACCTTTTTGGGTGATTCAAATGTCTAAATTTAATTTTTTCTACCCTCTTTCTAACCATGTATTTAGTTTGTCCAAATCATGCACAAGGTAAGTGAAAATCGAGCTCCAAAGTGACGGGTTTATCATTTTCAAAAATTGTCACGATTTTTAATTCAATTTTTCACCCACCAAACCTTATTTTTTCTAGATTCTAACTTCAAAAATGTATTCTTTACCCTAAAAATGGTGGATTAGGGCCCCCTTCACATCCAAAACTTGAAATTTTGAATACCCAAAAAATCAAGTTTCAAGCTTAAACAAGATTTTAATTTTCTCTCACTATACACCTTGTTGCCTCTCTCTCACTCTCTCTCTGACTCAGCAATGTCACTGCCCCCTCTCTCTCTTCTTCATCATCTCTCTCCATTAGCAACCCCCTCTCCCCTCTCTCTTTCTCTAAGTAACAACCTCATTGCCCCTTTCTCTCACCACCCTTCTGCCACTATTGGCAACCCACCGCCAAACAGCCCTCCCAGGTATATCTCCATCTTATCCCCTCCCTTCCTCCCTTGCCCTCTCCTCTCTGCTCAAACCCCCTCTTCCGAGGCTCTCCTCGTCGCGACCAACAACGGCATCAGAGCCACACCCCTTCTTGCACATAAAGACGATCCCACCATGATTATTGAATCTCTAGCCATTAGTTATTCCTATTGTTTGAGTGGTAAGATGAATTTCACTTGAGTTGTGCATAGTTAAGAATCAACCACTTAATTTTAATTTTTAAAATTTTGTTGTTAAAAATTTTGATAAGCAGACGGTGCTTGGAGTGAATTGTTTGAGAAAAAATATGATAGTCAACGATTCAGGAAGATGAAGATTGAAGAAGGATATTATTGTACTTTTATTGTGTCTATTTTTGGAGGAAAAAAGTTTTGTTATGTAAAATCTCCTTTTAGGAGCGTGTGTGTCACAGATAGTTTAATCTAACGAAAAAACTAACGGTAGCGTTTTAGTCCAAAAGCACAAGAGCATAATGTGTTGATTTCTAAATCATAGGGGGGTCATGTGTAAAACACCCAAATCACAAGGGGGTAAACTGAATTTTGCCCTAAAAACAATAAGAAGTTTTAAAAACTTCCTTATTTTTTTTTAAGATAATGAGTAGGAAAATATCTACTCTAGGATATTTCCTTGATAACGATGCTAATGTGTCACGTAGTATGAAGTGTTTTTATCCATTAAACTTCTCCAATCACATAAATTGGGTTACCTCCCTTGCGGGTTTAAGCTAATCCCCTCGACGGTTTTTGAGATATATTTTCTCAAAATCTTAGGTTTTGTTTGGTTTGTGTTTCAAAAAACAGTATTCGAAAACTGTTTTTTGTTTGCTTATACGATTTCAAAAACAGTTCTACGGAATATAAAACAGTAAATCTTTTTTGGCAATAACCCAAAAAACAATGAAAACAGAATTGTGATGGTAGTATTGGTGGAAGTGTAGTGGACATGGTGATGGTGTTGGAAGTGTGGTGGTGGTGGTGGAAGTATGGTGGTGGTCGTGGTGTTTTCTAAATTCTGGAATAGTTGTTTCCAAAAATACATAAAACAACTTTAACTTTTTTCTCTAAACAATTGGTCAAACAACTTTTTTTCTACAAACTATTTCCGAATACAAAAAATAGTTTCTAAGATGCAAACCAAATAAGACTTTGTGTTTCCTCGAAAGCTCAAGGATGAAGTTGATCATCTTTTATACATTCGTATCTCATGACTTTCCTCGAAAGCTGTATAATTATTAGTCAATTTTGTTTAACTAAGATTTATAAATTCCAATGTAAAATAATCATTATTTACAAATGCATGACTCGCTTGCTCAATTTCTCGTTAAATTGATTTGACCTACCTTCCAAGATCACAAAACACGATCAATTGCGTAGACTAAATAAGGACTTCCATTTGGACAGGCCATAATATTTCACTCATACATATAGCATGATTTCTTTGTATTCACACAACATCTTAAAAAGTTCAATCAACATGGTCCACCAAACTTTTTTTTATCACCATTAAAATATGTAATCTCCACATGAGTAGAGTTTTTCTTTTCTCAATAATAAGTTTAGAATAACTGAATGAAATAAAATATGCTCTCACATTGCACACGTATCAGAGAAAACTTCTATTAGAAGAACCGTATCAATTTGCGAAGATATTATGCTCACATTTGGCTAAATCATTAACAACTACAACATGTTGATGAATATTTTAATACTAGGTATATTATTTTAAGTGACAAGTGACCAAATCTTTAAGTGATATGTTTACGGGTTGAAGTTTAAGAATCAATCATTACAAAATGATAATATAAGTACTGATCAAGTTAGTGTAAAATAAAAAGGTTAATTGTACTAGAAGTCTTCAAAGTATGGAGTTTTTCTCATTTTGGTTCCCAATATTTCAATTGCATCATTTTAGTCCCTAAAATATTGAATATGTTTCTATATGATCCTTCAAGCAGACAACGTTCAGATTGCTAACGATTTTTTATCATAAACTTGTCACGCAATAGCTAAATATAAACAAAATAATTTTGATAGCTCTTAAACAAAATTTGGCTAACTCTTGACCAAAAAACGTGTAATATGGGTAATTTTTGACCAAAATTTGATAGTTTATGATCAAAATTGTGTAATTTAAATAGGTATTTAACTAAAATTTGAGTAAAAATTTGGTCAAGAGTTATCCAAATTATTTTGTAGTCCACATTTAAGTATCATGTGACAAGTTTGTGATAAAAAAATCATTAACAATCTGGACATTATCTGTTTAAGGGACCATATAGAAGCATATTCAATACTTCAAAGACCAAAATGATGCAATTGAAACATTGAGGACCAAAAATGAAACAAACTCCATAGTTTGAGGACCTCCAATAGAATGAACCCAAATAAAAATAATCGTTTAACTTCTTGTAAGAAATGGTTAATGTTTCTTTACTTTTCTATTTTGGATCTAGTATCCAATGAATTGTTTGATTATCAACAACTCATTGAGTATTAAGACATAAATAGGTTAGGCTGGAAACCCTTATCCCACACATCTCCAACAAATAAATTATGACCGTATTACTCAGTTTATTTTATTAGTAGATGTTCGAGATTGGTGATTGCCCATTGGTGGCAGTTTCAGGTTTGGAATCGAAAAGATTTAAGCTTAAACAACATGACTGAAACTAAGTATCCCGGAATATATTATTATTGATTACATCTATATAATAAAACACAAAGCTCTTAAGTATAAAAGTAAAACGATGGCCCAAACGTTTAGATCCGATGTCATATCATACGACTTATATCTTAACCTTTTTACTACAATAGACTTGCCTCTTTAATTGGAAGATTAGATGGTTGGCAAGGGCTGAGTAATTCATTGATCTCATATGGTTTGATAAACTTTCTATGGTTACTGGAGAAACCTAGAACAATATCATCAGGTCCTTCTTTGTGGATTAGTAACTCAACATATAGGGTACAATACCTTACTGTTGATGTCTTCTATTCCTCATTTAAGCCAATCCAACAACCTTTTCACTTATTTCCCACAGTTTATGGGCTTTCTTTGCATCACTGGCTTCTTTGGAAAGCTGGTTTTCGAATGAGGCGGAACTCTGGTTCCAGCTCCAGTACACGCCTGATTTTGTTAGGCTTGGATCGCTCACTACCTGAAATTCAAGAGGGGTGGTTAGTTGGTACAGTCTATTTCTGTTAAACCACCAACTACCCTGAAAGTTCAAACTCGTAGAGAAGGTGTAACATAATTATTTATATATTTCAACACGTCCAGTTATGTGTGTTAAATTTTAGATCAAGCACGTGCAAGTATTACAATCATAGGGGAGACAGCGAGATTCAAATGGAGAATATGGTACTTTGATCCAATGTTAAACAACTAACTGCACTAAAAGATAAAGGTGATAGAGAGGATGCAACACAGGTATTTCCATACTGCAACAATTTCAACTGATTTTAAGTTACCTGTGCAAGTCTTTTTCCTGCTTCTTCTTCAGAGACATATCCTCTAGTGATGTACTTCTGAAAGGGTGGGAAGAGAAGCCTAAATAAGGGAATGTGCTCCCTAAACAGCCCTGTTTCCGCTATACAACCAGGATAGAGGGAAGCAAAGGTGATTCCTGTCTCCTCGTGGTAGCGTCTATGGAACTCTTGCATCGTGAGCATGTTGCAAACTTTGCTGTCTTTGTAGGCCTTGGCACCATCAAACTCTCCCCCATCTATCATGGGTGAGCTGTTCAACCCGTTCAAGCCTCCCGCAAGTCCCCTCAGATCACCAAGGTTAGCCTTTGGTGGCACATTTCCTGCCAAGGTGTTTGTGTTGCCTACAATTCCAGCCACAATAAAGACAACATTACAGACTATGTGGTAAACTTATTTGAATTAATTCATAGATAGTCCCAAAATTTATATGGTTATCTTTCTATAGACCATCTCTATTTTTTTTTTTTTAATTATAGACCATCTCTATTGAGGGTAAGATTGTATGAGTGAAAGGAAAACAGACAGGGAGGACTCGGGTTTTTCTAGTGTTTTCGTGGAAGCACTTTGAAAATTCTTTTCAAAAGTGCAAGCCTTGCAGGCCCTTGCATTATCCTAGAAATTTGGAAGGAATTTCTACTTTCAGAGGACAGACAGTTCATCAACTTTACTTGAGACCCTCCTGCAAACCTAATGGGACCTAAGGGTCAGAGAACTCGGCCTGTTTTGTCAAGTATCTAGAGGGATCATTTAAATTTAGTGAACCCCATTCACCACATTCTGTTGAATTTTTAACGCCAAACTCATAGTCTTCAAAAAATATATATAATGTTTAATGGGTTTTTTTTTTGTTAGTGCCAGCTTTGTAGCTCTCAGCAAAAGGTCCCTAATCAGCAGGAGCAGAGTAATAAAATGTTTCTTTACTTGTCAATTCAATTGAGTGTATCAGGTTTATAAACCGAGACTAGTACCTGTTATCGAGCCAACAATAATGAGACGCTTTGATGGGTAGTCTGATTGCTTCAAATCATCTAGCAGCAATCGTGAAAGGAGGAAGTGCCCAAGATGGTTAGTGCCGACGCTAAGTTCAAAACCTTCAGCAGTGAAAGTTGGCTCCTTTGCAGTTGGCAAGTAGACGGCAGCATTGCAAACCAGCACATCAAGTGGCTTTCCTGAACGCTTGAAGTTATCTACAAATTGCCTGACACTGTCAAGGGAAGCAAGGTCAAGATGCATAACAGTGTAGTTTTCCTTAGCAATGCCAACTGATTTAGCAGCCCTCTCAGCTTTGAGAAAGTTCCTGCAGGCCAAGATTACGTCCCATTTCCTGGTTTCAGCAAGAGCCTTTGCTGTGGCTAGACCTAAGCCAGAGGATGCTCCAGTGATTATAACATTGCCCTTTCTGATAGTTTTCTTCCCTTCTTGGGCAGACTGGTTGAATGCTGGAGTTGCTGTTGTCGTTTGGGCTCGGATGGGTCCAACTGATACTTTTCTCTTGAATTGCTGCAAGTTAAGCACCATAGGAATAATTACGCTCCAGCTGCATTCTTAATCATCAACCTTTCAACCCTCCTAGTTAAGGATGTTCACATAGTTCCAAACGCTGAATAACTGCTGACTAGGGGTGAGTCTCTTGATAGTTTGAGGAAATTGATGAGAGTATCAGTTCTTGGAATTTGTATGAATATTTTTAACACGAATTAATTGCATAATGCATCAAAATAAAACACTGCATACTTCAACAATTCAAGGATCCCATGAAATAACACTATCATCTTTCAACGATTGCCATTTGTTTTGTATCACTTTCTTTTACCAATTTTATGAGGGAATGAACCAAAACACCCCTGAAATAATTTCTTCAAGCTGAAAAGTCAAAATTAATTTTGCTTATCTAGAAAACCCAAATAGCAAAAATTTAATAAATATACCCTAAACAACATAAAAATTATCATTTGGACAAACGCCATTTCTATTTTTTTTTTCCAGAAAATGAATGCGTTTCATTTTAATTTATTAGCATAACAACTCCTGTAAACATAAATACCTACTAAGCCATTTTAGTCCAAACAAGGTGTCTAGGGTAGATTGACGATTTGGTATGTTGATTTTGAAAATTCTTGTTCTGGATTTCTGGAAAAGTGTAAGAATTCATTAGTTTTCCGGACTGAAGAAAAATGTTTAAGAGACGTTTCCTGATATTTTTCCTTTTTTACAAACTTGCCTCTTGGTACTTGGACAGAATGGGGAAAGAAAGGATTATGCAAGAAGGTTTTAAAGGAAGGCTCCTTTTAACATTTTCCTTCTCTTCTACTCATACTAAAGAGGTTTAACTTCAAAGAAACCTGATGGAAGTTTCTCAGTTTCTACTATAAGGTGGCTTCAGCATTGTCACAAGAAGGAAAAAACTTCACAGTACTACACAACCAAGTGGCAAGCACTCAGCACAGAGTAAACAACTTTAGTTTCCAACAGACCCTTTTTCAAAATTGTAAGTATGTAAACCATTAAGTCTTTTTTTTGTTAAGTACAGCCTGTTTTACAATTTCTATGAAAACCAATGGATCTAACCTGTTTCTAAGAAAGGGGAAGGAAGCCACTACCTAGGCTGTGCCCAGGGATGTACAGATACTTAACCAAAATCTTTCCCAAATTACAGCCATTTTCCGACTTTATTCTTTTTACATTACAATCTCAAACTTATTTCCAAAAACTATCGTTGTTTTCACAATGGGCAATGTAAAATATATAAGGCGTGTTTTATAAACACGCTTTGTACATTGAAAACCCATTGTAACCTCTTTGGGCTTTTACAAAGTACTTAAAAAAAAAGTCTGTACCAGTAAATTACCTTGCTTCCTGTGACAAGAGAGTCGAATTCAACTCTAAGAGGGTCTGATACAGAGACTCCAAAGAGAGATGATGTCTCCTTGAGGGAAGCATTAGACTTCCTCTGTCAACATTACAGACCTTCATGAATATTTTGGAGAATAAAAAGGAGGCAGACCAAAATAAGAAATCCAAATGGTGATTATTGAAGGAGACCCAGAAATTTTCTAAATTATAGAAGAAATCAGTAACAAGCAGCATACCTCTTTATGGGTGGAGATAGCAGCTTGAAGTAAAGAAGCTGTTTGGAGAGCCATGAGCCAGTTAGTGTAAGTTTCCTATAGAAACCTGTGATAGTTGCTGAAACACAGTGCATATTTATGGGCATTATTGAATGGATAAGAAAGTTTTGGGGCAGCTGAGAAATGTGCCTCGTTGTCTTCCTCCTGGCCAATCAGAATGTGGCTTTTGGATTCTTTTATCTTATTTGAAAGGGATTATTATACTTAAGACCCCTGAAGATTTTCTTACCAATCATATGACCAAAGGTATAGAAATTAATACCCGTTTAGAATCTATCTATATATAAAAAACAAATATATTTCAGATGAGAGGATTTAAGAAGTCGTTCCTCCCAAATTACTTAATTTTAAAATTTTAATTAATCTCTTTCGACCAAATTGTTCCATTTAACTTCTTTAACTACTCCATTCATCTCTCATTGATCACTGTCACCTAACCCCATTGCCTAAACATTATAGCAACCTCCATTCGATCCATCCAAATACTGTTTGGCACATACAGTCACCTTAGATCACATAGGGCAACAGCGGATGCAAGAGCGGGAGTACAAAAGTGGTTAAATTTAAAAAATATTTCCACCCAGGCTATTCATATACTGCTAAATTTCTAAATTTTCTTTCATATCTCCAATAATATAAATCACTATACACTATGAACCTTTCAATTCTTTTCATATTTGATTTGAGGTTCTCATATGCAAAAACCCAACATGGTACATATAGAGATAAATAACATACTTTTGTTCGAATATAACCGTTATATGACTATTGAGACTTGACTACTACAATTCGTGCTTAAAGATGGACGATCTTTTGGCTGCCTAGAAATATATATTTTATTCGATGAATAATATTATATAGATTTAAAAAATAGACTTAGTAATTATAACTATTGATTTTACTGTGAATTTCAACATTTATTAGAATTTATAACTTATTCAATGATTATGATAATCAAGTTTATTTTTTAAATTTATTTAATATTTCTTTTACTCGAGTGCAACTGTTAGACATTAGCAATAACCAACAAATAGGACAAAAAAGGCTTAAAAACAAAGAACCAGTGTATTTGTGTAACGATAATCTTGATCCTAACAATGAGCACTAATGCCCCATTTGCTGAACAATTTTCAGTTGTTTTGCATGTCGGCCCAACCCAACAGGATACCTAAGCAAAGATCTAAACCTCGTCACCAGGTTTTTGTCCTGTGATCACCTAAAATTTTAAGTCAAATTGAAGTTTAATCTATCATTTAAACTTATTTAGAAATAAGTCTTATTTTAATTTTATTAATAAATAGTTAAGTCCACTATTTTTTAAAAACTCAAAAATGTCCTTTGGGAAGACAACACATATTTATTGAGAAAATAACACATTTGACTTATATTTATCGACCCATTTAATGCTTCTCCCACCTTTTTTTTGCCCTTTTCTCTCTCTCATATCTATTCCTTCTGTTCTTAAATATCTGTCGTTTTACACAATTTTTTTGTTCCATAATATCTATCGTTTTATGAAACCAAAGCATAATAAATAATTTTTTTTCCAAATTTACCATTATCTCTATTTTTCAATAAGTGTTTAATAGATTAAGTGTAGGCTAAGTGTCTTTTATATTCCTTTCATTCTCAATACGTATTGAATAAGGGTATTTTAGTCTTTTGTAATTATTTTTTACTCATATTAGAGCTATTTAATAACTTCCTTAATCCCTGTGCAAAAACCTTAAACGACAAATATTTAGGGACAGAGGAAGTATCTGCTAGTAATTGTCCGTGTCTAAAAACACTACGTAACTTGAAAAAAATTCATAAACAATTGTCCACACCAAAAAAGCACCATACAACACAAAAAATCACCAATAAAAAAAACTGAGAAAATTGACTAATTAATATGAGTCCACTAATAATTTTAACATATTTCACTATAAAAATATGACTTTTGAAAAATATCAACATATATAAAGAATTTATACAATCAAACATTTATTTAAACGGAGACAACATAAATCAATCATGTTTCTCATGCCCGTACTACCATTATTTACCAACTACTGTAAACAGAGAAGTGTCCTCTTTTATAAGAATCTTCAATAGAAATCCGTCATTGTAATTCTTATACTCGTACCCACTTTTCAGGCAATGGAGGAGCAAAAGCCCTTTTTGAACCCTTGCTTTATTTAAATTGAACTCCTCCTCAGTCGTGTTAAATTTTTGGTAAATTACTTAGTCCTATTAGTATTATAACAATGATTTATATACTATGCCCAAGAATGGTATATAATTGTTCCCCACTAGCCCAAGAATCATAAATACACTCACAAAAGTTCATCCTTGACATAATGTAATATCAAAAGCAAACCAAAAAAACTCTCAATTTCTCAATATTGAACATAAAGAGAAGACTGAATCTTGAAACTACAATATACTAAGGATTTCATTGCTCGATATACCATCAAACAATGATTGACCATAGAAGAACTCACTAATAGTATAGTGCCCATTCAACAAATATATGAGCACAATGAAGTAAAAAAAAAGCAAAATCTTGTACCATAGAAGACAAATTTGTCCTCATCTAGACTTTCATCTGCTTCAAGTTTGTGCATTGTGGTTGTAGACGTGGCAGCAGTTGTAGTTGTTTATGATGCAGTGACGAATGCCCCCCCCCCCAAAAGACTTTTGTCTCAAACATGATGGCAAATATATTGCAACACAACATTTACAAAAAAAAATAGCGTGTTAAAAGAATTAGAGAGATGTGTGTGACAGTTACCAAAATTAAATTTTTGTCCAAAAGTTGTAGTAGAAAAAATTCTTACCAGAGAGCTTTCTCACTAATTCCATCAATGAAGCATTCTATCAAAAAGTTTGCATACAACAAAAGTACTAATGGTACAATTTAATGAACAAATGCAATTATATTGATTACACAAAATTAAAGCAATCAAGTACCAAAAAAACTCAAATTATTCATTCAATTTAAGTAACCTCATTTCTAAATGAGTCATTCCATCAAATTATCTACGTGCAGAACCAAAGGCGTGATCTTTTGAGTATGTAACCACAAAATCGGGAATTCCGTGCTCCCACTTTAGGAATTGAGACAGTCTAGGCAATTACATACATAAAAAATTAAAATTACAAAAAAAAAATCCACACAAATTGACCTGGAGTGACTGTGCGTGCACAACATCAGTGCGTATAAAAGTGTGTGTCTGTGTGTGTCTATGTGTGTCTGCACATGAGGGTGGGTGAGTGTGAAGGTGTGTGCGGGTTATGGGGACTATGTATTTGTGTTTTATGTAGTGTGTGTGTGACAGAATGGTGGTGGCAAAAAGTGGTGGAAGAGATGTGACATGGAGAGAAGGAGAGGAGGAAAAGGGGTCAAGTCAATACCTACAAGGGCATTTGGTCGAACAGGTTATAGGCACACTTAGAGAGATGGAGAGAGAAAATATATGACCGTGGAACATTTGCAATGTTTTTAGGTGTGTGAGAGTATGCAAATGTGTGGTGTGGCTAGGCTGGTAAATTGCTAACAGATGTTATCTGATAGCGCAACTGCTTTTAGGATGTGTGAGTGTTTGTGGTGTTGGTGTGGGTCGTGCAAGTATGTTGTAGAGGGAGGAAAACAGAGAACAGAAAGAGAAAAAAAAACACATAGAAAATGGGAAACGGGTTTTTGTGTGTGTGTGTAGGGGCCGAATAAGAAAGGGGGGAAATAAGAGGATAGAGAGAGATATATATACCTTGTGGGTGTCGTCGATCATCGTTGGTGGTAGCCTTGGCATTGGCATTGTCGCTGGGGGTCCGGCTCCTCTGTGGTAACCCACTTACCACATGATATGCGATTAAGTGGAACGGTATCGTTTGGGGTACTTTTTGCAATTATTTTTTAAATATTCCTTACCAAAAACAGCGTTGTTTTTGGTCTTTAAAATCAATTTCAGCAATCTCCCTTTTCTTTCTCCTGCTTCTTCTTCGTCAAATGGAGTCTGGTTCTCCTGCCTTCTTCATAACTCAATCTCCCTCTTCTCCCTTCTTCACAACTCAGTAAACACCAAAAGCCAGGTAAGAGACCAATCTAATTTCGTCTTAGGTTGTCCAAGGGACCAATCTGTCCCAGTTTCAAAGTTATTTTTTCCAAGGAACCAATCAGAGTTCGTCTTGGGCTGTCTAGGGGACCAATTCAAAGTCATTTTTTTTCTATGCTGGTACAATGCCCTTTGTTTTCCTTTAAATGTATTGTTGTTGAATTGGGATGCTTAGACTTATGAAGATGAAAATCGTTTTAAGGATGTTTCTCTAGTAGCGATTTTGTTTTGATCCTTATAAAAAAAAACAGAGGTTGTTTGATGAAGCTATTGATTAAAAAAAATAATGGAAGTAGCCATAAAAGATGTATGTAACCTATTGTTTATTAACAAAGTTGGTATGCAGTTGCTGGTATGTTTTGGACTTAACTGATCTGGTTTGTAGGTGATAATAACTATTCGATGTTTATTTTCTATTTTTGTGGTCAATATTTTTCTAGTTTGATTTTTTTTTTTTGAATGTCATCCATATATTATTGTGTTTCATTCACCATATTTTTTTGAATGTCATACATATATTATGTGTTTCATTCACCATATATACACTTTTTGAATGCCATACATATATTAAATTTCTTATTGTAGGATACTATGGTGCATGATTTGGGAGTTAATGCGACTGAGAATAGATCTCATATTGGTATGTAATTTTATGTGGAGGAAGATGCTTTTGCATTTTACAATAGTTATAGAGGGTCTGTGGGATTTAGCGTGAGAAAATATTTTCAAAATAAAAGTTTGAAAGATGGCGTTGTCATTTACAGAAAATATGTTTGTTGTAAACAAGGTCAAAGGGTTCATGATAAAAGAGAAAGACAAATAAGGAAGTCTCGAGCAGAGACACGAGCAAATTGTCAAGCTCATATGTGCATATCTCTTAATAGAGAAATTGACAAATTTGTTGTAGTGAAATGGGACGACAACCACAATCATCCTTTGCACCTTGTTGAATGTA